ATGTCTTTGTACTTACAGTCGAAACGACTCAGTAAGTTAATCCTGTACTTTAAAACGCTGCTATCTGAAATGGATATTCCATTGTAAATCGGGGAAACAGGAAACAACAGAGTCAGTTTTTGTCTATATCAAAGGAATTGTGATTCTACGGTAACACGAAGGTGGGTGTAAGACGTAGTCATCGTTTGGACTACGTACTTCGCTGCGAACCCAAAGAGCAAACATAAGTGAAGTGAAAGTGAGTTGTATAAGATTATAGCTTTCTCTTGGATTCTGGCTACCAGTTTAGCAGGTGAGAGCGCAAATCATACGGAGTTTATCCCGTCATCTTTAGGTGGTTACAATTATCGACATATGCTGCATATTACAAGCATGAGAATCGCGTCCATAAACGTGGGGTACTCTTTGTCTAGCCTCCTTCTTGTGGTTTGTTCGTGTCCATAGACGCGGGGTACTGTGGTTTGTCCGCGTCCATAGACGTGGGGTACTGTTTATCTAGCCTCCTTCTTGTGGTTTGTCCGCGGTTTGTTTACAAACAGATCGACCTAAATCCTTCCCTGCAGTCAGCCATCACGCATATCACGTAGTTTCTACTCCTGCCCTCAATCACCTAACAGACAGACACCTGCTCTTCTATTGTGAGGAAGTTCGTTTTTCAATGTCGCCAAAGTCGATTTTTCCCGTTCTCGCTGTTTTGCGACCACCTCGTGAGAATTGATCTCTTAACATGGACGTAGTCTCCCATTTTTTTATTTGATTTTTTCTTTATCGAAATAAGTCAGAATAAAACAGATGTGTTTTAGATAAATCAATTTCAATACGGAAGAAGCCTCTCCGCTTTAGTCACGCCATCAATGATCGCTTTTTAAAGCTCTAGTATTACACCTAAACAGTAGTTCATCAATACTGCTTCCTATATTTGACCGCTGTAACTTTTCTGTGGTTTACTTGTGAAATAAGGCTTTACAGAAAATCGATACCTTTCTACCTCGAGTCAAATAAAGCTTTCACATGTATGCTCCGTTGTATTTTTTGCAGCTGCTTCCCTAACTCTAGTGACAACTGATCGTAAGTATGAATAGTATTTATTACAGATCTGCATTTTAATCTACGGTTTTGTTTTGTGTTCAAGTCGACAGGATATCTCATTTTTATTAAGGTAATAATAACAATTGTGTTAGTTTGAAACACGTTTTTTAATTTCTATATTGCTAGAACTTTAGCTTTCAAGCCCGTGTTGAAAGCTAAAGAGCAGTCTGAAGCAATAGAGCAGCTGCAATGACCGAATCTTTCCAGTAGACGCTATTGCCACAAGGCTAAACTCGTTTTTCTCTGTCTTCACTCATTAGTTCCTAGTTACTTTTCATCATGCATATTTCACCAGATTTTCGAATATTCACAACTATTCCACCAGGCAAAGTATGAGGCTATCCCCACCAAAAGTAAAGCATAAATTTTGGAAAAAGGACCTTTCTTTTTACTGACGCAGAAATTTTTAAGAGCGTCTCTCAGTAAATACCACGGTTAGGTGTGCAAAATGGAAAAATCGAAATCTACCAAACTTTGTCACATTAAAGCCCTTATGAAACTATTTTAGAAAACACAAGATTCAGTTTCTTGTGATTGATATTTTCCAAAAATTTAATTTTTTGGAATTTTCACTCCCGAGAGGCCCTTACACCAACGAAAAACGTGCTTCGCATCCTTGCGTGGTGAATAGAAACGGAATAAAATACCATGACTATTCCTATTTAAGATGATTTTATGACCCTTCCTTTGTATGAAAACGTTGTTATAATTTCAAAAGATTCCAATCTGAATTTTTAATTTTTTTTTTAAAATCACCCTCTAACACAATCTCATCGCCACTATCAATTTTGCCATTTTTCAACGCCAAAAAGCCCTTCCTGGTACATGGCTTTCATTGTGCAAATGCTATTTCAGAGAAAGGGCAATCCTTCTTCTTTCAATTTATGAAATAAATTTTGGGGCAATTCAAACGGCAAGTTTTGAGAACTGAAAACATCAACGGTACTTGCGTGAAATTTACAACTTTTGAACTTGCGGTTGCAATGACGAATACAAGGAAGCATAAAGCAGTACAAGAGTGAACTTGGACAGCAGTTCAAATACTTCATGAATTCGATCCTTTTCCACCAGTTCAAAAACTAAACAAACGATTATGACTTCATAATGGCAATTACCTGAAAGAAAAAGCATTTGTATTGTGCGAAATTGAGCTGTGACCTCTTGACAACACTTCCCGTACAAGCGCATTTGTTTACTTTGAAGCCTGACTTGTATCAGTTATCTAAATATGAAAAGTATACATCAAAATGTTGACATCTCGTCTGAAAGAAATCGTAAAAGCAATGGAAGAATAGGACAAACATTTGCTCACCTCATATACATCTATTGTTGAAAAAAGACCAAACTCCCTACTGAGTTACTGAGTCACAAAGGCACTGAAATGAAAAAAGGCGCCCGAGAAAATCAGAACGGATCTGCACCTGACACCTGAACATTACTTACGACAACCTAGAATGCGGTGTGTTCGAGTGGTTAAAGTGTTGGACCTGAATTCCAGTTGCCCCACTCAGGTCCAGGTCCCCCGCCATGCTACTCAATGTTTATAATTTCTCGGTTGCTTCGACTGATTTCAGCTCCTCAGCTGCACTCCCAAAATTACTAGTCTACCTACTATCAGTTGCGATTGTAAAACAAGTTTATAGATATTTGGAATATTTCAGTTGTTTCATTCTGTTTATACTTAGGCCCTCAAAAGCATAATTTTTCCCTCAATTACCGCCAAAAAACTCAGACCAAACTCATCTACCAGCTGCTTTACGGAATTGCGAGCTCCCAATGTTTTAGGTCTTTCTCCGATTAAAGTTGGCTGAGATTTAGGAGATTTGATCCGAGGGATAGACTGGAAAAGATCGTGGCTGTCTTCTCGTAGTTAGACTAGATCCTTAAAGAAAGTGTGGACACATAGAAAAGCCCATACACAAGTAACTAAAACTAATTAGAGAAATTTTCATTTGAGTTTCGAAAGTAATCCAAGATTTCATTGGTTTCGCTTTACTTCGCCCAGTGATTTTGAATTCAGAAAACTCGCGTCACTCTCTCCCCCAATCAGCTGCAAATCTAAAACCGATCACAATTTGGTCGTCCGCGTTTTCCCGCACTTTAGGTAGTTTGGTCGGTTTAACTATGAGTTCTTGTTGGCTGGCTACTACACAACAAAACCTCTAATAAGATATTTATACTTCAAGGACTATACATTTCGTAGAGTTTTGGAGGCAACGGTTTAATTTGCGTCAGTGGTGAGCAAAGCTATAGTCTGTAGTGAGCTTAATTAAGTTTTTACAGAATTATCATTGTTATTATTTTGCATAGAAGTCGCTCCATAGTAAGAATAACGTGCTAGTGAGAACTTAAGAAGAACGCCGCTGGTATCGTGCAAGAAAGCAGACTGATTTTCTCTAATGTGCGGGACTGCGTATGCTAACTTCGGTGTGTCGCTGTGTAAATGCGCAGGCTCGTAGTGACGGAGTTAAATAGAATGATTTGTATCAGTTCTTCCTGGAATAAAAGCAATTCCCACGCATCACAAAACAATGGGGGAGTAACTTTTTTAAAAGGTCTTGTTACTGTTTTCGGTACGATTTGATCGTATCTACGAGCGTCAAATAAAACTCTTTACGAGTTTATTTTGGGAATTCGATCAGTATTTCTGAGTTTCGTGCAGAGTGGAAACTAACAAGGGTCAAAAAACATAACGGAGTTAGGACTTTCGTCACCCAGAAAATGGACGTAGGTTTTGGGAATCGTTGTGGCACTCATGATATAAGTCATTGCGTAATTTGTTCTTGGCTTGAATGTTTTGCTTTGGTTTTCGTATACTATGCAGATGACCTTTGCAGTTTGACGTAAATCATCCATCTCCTGGAACATATTTCCTTTAGACCAAAGTAGTAACATGAACACTGTATTGGATGGGAGGAGAGTGTGGGATGCGGAAACGAGGCAAGTGTGATTCCTCCCATTCCCTTCTCTTAATTTCGGATGAATGGTCAAGTGAATCATTTATCCTGTCTCAGTTGGGTGTGTCTCTTTTATCCCAGTTATGTAGACCTTTTATTTGACACGCGGCGACTATATTTTCCTCGAATAAGCGTTCGGGCACTTATTCAAAATGTCAGCTAAAAGGATGGGCGTGGTGCTTATTGGAAGGAGGATGCGTAATCTAGGGGGGTCCTTATTATTCTCTAATTCTGATTCCGCTGTAGTTGAAGCTTCTAAGCTTTAAAAAAGGTTTTATAACATAACTAAAGTAAAGCGTGCGCTCTGATTGGTCAATTCAACGTCCACCATTCGCCCATGGGTGTACGTTGCTGACTTGAGCAAATGCAAAGACCAGTTTCTGTGCGCTTGTTTTTTTCTGGTCACGTAACATTTCAGTGTTAAGGGAACTCTTTTCTTTCAATGTACCAATTTTGTGTTATAAAACAAATGGTAAACACCAAAGCGTACACTATTGAGCTATGGATGCACTTGGGAGGTTTGCTAACCCCTCAAGAAGCTAGAGTCACTCTCGGCTATCGCAATATATCGCCTCGCGTGACTCTTACGCTTCCTTCGTGCTTAGCAACCTCCCGCGTCTGTCCATAACTCAACAGTGTACGCTGTGGTGTTAAACATTTGTTAAATAATTAAAGTGGCAATAGGAACTGGTTTTCACTGTATCACGATTATTTGAGGTGAGGAGGACGGAGCGCATTTTCGAGAGGGGTGCTTGTGTCATTCTGGCCTAGTGTGTGGGCGCTTATTTGGAAGAGGGCGCTTATTTGGAAGAGGGCGCTTATTTGGAAGAGGGCGCTTATTTGGAAGAGGGCGCTTATTTGGAAGAGGGCGCTTATTTGGAAGAGGGCGCTTATTTGGAAGAGGGCGCTTATAGAGAGCGTGGGCGCTTATTGGAGGAAATGCGGTGTCATTTTACTGTTGAGAACTGATGTTATTGACATCGGGGTCTCGACAAACATTGTTCGGTCTGTTGACTCTGGATATTTCGTTTAAACAGAAAATTACAAGCTTATCTCGCTCAGTCGATTTTGATCTCGTCGACTCCTCAGTGTGAAGAAGAGTGAGCATCTTTTAAAGAAAGCGAGCAGTTTGAATGCGATCATGATTTTCGCCTGGATCGTGGTTACTTTTACTGGTGAGTGAGATTTCTCTCCAAAAAATTATTAATGCTGTTTTCACTTCACCCATCATACGTGAAACAAAGGCATCTAGAAGTTCGATATGTTTGCTTTTACAGGCCACAAGTTTCTATTAACATTCTGTTCTTAACTTCACTATGTCTAATTTAACCTCATTCAACCTCAGCGTCTCCTCGTTCTTCCCGCATTGTATTCCTCTTCCTTCGGGTTAGCTTAGTTTTTGCGGTGCAACTTTTTCCATCGATCCAGTCGAAAACTTTCATTTAGGAAGTTCTTAATTGAAGGTCTTAAGATGTTGAAGTGCAGATGCCTTTCTTATCAACTCGAACGACACGAATTCATCACCCTGGTGCTCATCGAGTAAATATTTTATCATCAGAAATATGTTTAGACGGACTTGAAGATACTTTGCATTCCTAGGTTATTAAGAAAGCATATTTTATTCTCATACGTGATGGAGAATTGATCGTTATGCTCAAATACGGTGAAAGTTAGAGACAGAAAGCGTTAACTCAATGAGGCACTTATTTCGTACGTATGTGGAAATTGATATCTGGCAACAGTTAATGATAAACAAGACATCAGGAGACTTGGAAAATGATACATTTAATGTTGACTGAGTATCAGTCTCCTAAGAAAACCCTCTCTCGACCTGTCACGTAAGTTTTTCTTGTGACGAACCAAAACTATGAATGAAACTGGAGTCAGTCAGTAAGTACTCACTCAAAACTTTGCTTAATCTCAGCAGTTC